GAGGCTCTGACCAATATAAAGGTCCTACAAGGACACTTACCCTGAGGATAAGCTTACCGAAGACGACCAAAATTCCATTCTGAAAGCTTTGGGCGAGGTGTTACGTAGGACTCCAAAGGTAGAACTACCACACCTAAACTCATACAGACTGTTGGGAGGTGCACTTATCTATATATGTGCCGACCAACAGTCTGGTCAGTGGCTCATCAGAGCCATTGACAACCACAGGCTTCAATCAGGGACCAGGCTGAAGGCTACTGATGCCAGGAACCTACCCAAGCCTGTTAAAGTAGCTCTCCGGACTAGGGACAAAATTGCCCAAAACCAGGAAGAGCTACTGAAACGGATTGCCGATCTTAATCCAGGACTCCATACAGAGAACTGGAGGGTGTTAGACAAGCAATCTGAGTTGAAAGGCCAAAAGCTTATACTATTCATAGTCCAGGACTCCTATACTATTATACAGAGGACCGGTTATAAAATATTTACAGGACTCTCACAGGGGACTGTTAAGGTGCTGGACGATCCTGAAGTTCGGCGCTGGGCAGAACCCGTGACAGACACTGTATCTTCTAACTCAGTCTCTGAGGAGGAAGGGGATGATGTACCCAGCCCCTAAGATGACTGAAGTAAAATGGATCAGGGGACCTCTTCACATGGAACCCAGTCCAAGATAGAGGAGGAATATAAGATGGAAGCTGATACCTCCTCAACTGGAAGAGACCATGAGATTTCTTTAGATCAACCTGCACCACAGTAAAGCTGCCACGGCAGCTCTGTGCCAACAGCTAGCTGAGGGCAAGGCAGACATAGCACTTATTCAGGAACCTTGGTTATACAAGGGTCGAATAAGGGGCTTAAATAATATGGGGGGAACAGTTATAATGCAGTAATAATGCAAGATCCTGTGTTTATATCAGGAATCATGTTAATGCCTTGCCTTTGCTGGAGCTCTGTTCTAGGGATGCAACAGCGGTAAGGATAACATACCCATATCGAGAAGGCAGCAAGGAGTTTATAATTGCTTCAGTCTACCTTCTATACGACTCGGATGAACCACCGCCAACTAAGGAAATGAGGGACATCATAGACTACTGCTTTAGCAGGAAAAAGCAACTCATCATTGGGTGTGATGCCAACGCGCACCACATTTTGTGGGGGAGCACCAGCACTAACCCAAGCGGAGAGAGCCTTATGGAATTTCTGGTGAGTTAGAACCTGAATATTCTAAACCATGGTAACGAACCTACCTTTGTGGTTTGCAATAGGAAGGAGGTTATTGATTTGACACTAGGGACTAGTAACATAGAAAACCTGGTAAGTAATTGGCATGTATCTGATGAGCCGTCTCTATCGGATCACAGATATATATGCTTTAAAATAAGTAACATCACAGTAGATCAAACTACTTATAGGAATCCTAAGAGAACCAATTGGGAGTCTTACAAAGACGACCTAAAGGTAAATCTGGAGGCCATCTCGCGTAATATATGCACAATAAAGGATGTTGATCGGTCCGTTGACCAGTTGCAACGGGCTATTATCTCGTCCTTTAATCAGAATTGTCTGGCTAGGACCACTCGCGGACCAAGGAGTACACCTTGGTGGAATAAACAGCTGAGTGGGCTTAGGATCAAAACAAGAAGGCTCTTTAATACAGCTAAAAGAACAGGGCAGTGGGACACCTATAAGGAAGCCCTGACCTGTTACAAGAAAGAAATAAGGAAAGCCAAGCAATCCTCATGGAGGAGGTACTGCCAAGAGATCAATGATGTACCAGGCGGTGCCAGACTCATCAGAATCATGGCAAAACAGGCGACCAACAAGGTCAGCACAATTAAGCTGCCTAACGGACAGTATGCTCAAACAGGAAGGGAGACGCTGAATGAATTATTCAGAGTTCACTTTCCTGATTCAAAATTGATTGACAAATTGGACAATGGACAGGGTCTGCAGAACCTGGACACTTGCTAAAACAAGATGGACAGGGTAGACTGGGACCTGGCCAAAGTCATAATTAATCAATAAAAAATAAGATGGGCACTGAACACTTTTAGATCATTTAAATCAGCGGGAACGGATGGACTTGTACCAGCACTTTTGCAACATGGGGCAGAACTTTTAGTTCCACACCTATGTCGCATATATAGAGCCTGCTTGGCATATGGTTTCATCCCCACAGCCTGGAGGCAGGTTAAGGTGACGTTTATTCCAAAGCCCAGGAAACTTGATTATACCTAGGTTAAGGCTTATCACCCTATCAGCCTGTCATATTTCCTTTTGAAAACAATGGAGAAACTAGTGGATAGGCATATTAGGGATGGGGTACTGAGGACATGTCCTCTACACCAAAACCAACATGCCTACCAAACAGGTAAATCTACAGAAAGGGCACTACACAATGTGGTAACACGCATAGAAAGTGCAACTGAACACAAGGATATTGCCTTAGGAGCATTCCTTGATATAGAGGGAGCCTTTGATAGGACCTCATTTGATGTAATCAAACAGGCTGCTGGAAGGCATGGCATAGAGCCTGCAATATGCAGATGGAT